CCTTTTCTTTCTTGAAGAGGAAACCAGAGGTCAGGAGTAGCCTCCCAATTGTGCTGTGTTTTGCCAGAGAGAGTGTGAGCAGTTATTCTGGCCCTGTAACTAACTCTCTTCCTTGCTGTGGCACTTACTCATCCTGCGTTTGCCTGAAGGCGCACCTTCTGAGGAAGGCAGTCAGAAGTGGCTGTGTCTCCATGAGAAATGAAGCTCTTTAGGGTCCAGTGGCACTGACATCCTTCATCCAGTATTTGTATATTCTTTTTTAAAGCTGCTTTTACCTCTGTGTTCTAAGCTGAATAATATGCTGCCTTGTATCTTTCAGCTATCTCTTCTCATGACAGCCACATCTCATTGCCACAGTCAGGCACAGGTTACTTATCACGTAAAGAGCTACTGGGAAGACATGGAAGAAGGGCTCTTGGGCATTTGTGGGATTGTGAAAGTCAGAGTGCTTGCCATGAATGTCACAACCCAACTGGAATGCTCACCCCTAAGAATTTTCTTCAAATATATAAGTTCAGTTGGGAAAAACCCCACTTGAAATTTTCAACCATACCCTGGAAGGAAAATTTAAACATCCAGAAAGTCACCTGGTGGCTGCTGCATATAATTATTCAAACAGTTTAAAATGTAGAATGGGATTCAACTTTAATCTGAATATTTCTGAAAACCACAGATATAAAAATGATGATCAAGTTTTTAAATATGATCAAATTGAAATGTATTCAAAACTTACTCAGCACCAGAGAATGCATACTAGGGAGAGATTCCCTCAACTTCCAAGAAGGGAGCAATGTCTCTAATTGGAGCTCCAGCCTCGCTGGATCTCAGGAGATACCTTCTGGGGAGAAGCCATACAAATGCAAACACTGTGCTAAGAGCTTTAATTGGCATTCAAGGCTTATTGCACATCTGTACATTCATACTGGAGAAAAACCTTACACATGTAAAGAATGTGGTAAAGCCAGTATTCCTACCTTACTAAACATGGGAGAATTCACACTGGAGTTAAACCTTACAAGTGTAAAGAATGTAGCAAAGCTTTTAGAGAGGTTTCATACCTTACTAAACATCAGAGAGTTCACACTGGAGCGAAGCCACACAAGTGTAAAGAATGTGGCAGGGCCTTTTCATACCACTCTGAACTTTCTTATCATCATGTTGTTTGTACTGGAGAGAAGCCTTACAAATGCAGTAACTGTGGCAAAGCCTTCATGTGCTCCTCTAGTCTTTCCCGTCATCAGAGAACTCACACTGGAGAGAAGCCTTACAAGTGTAAGGAATGTGGCAAAGAGAGTACTCATACCTCGTTGTACATCAGACAGTTCACAGTGGAGAGAAGCCCTACAAATGTAACGAATGCAGCACATCCTTTAAACGGCAACCACATCTGTCTCAATATCTGAGAATTCACACTGGGGAGAAGCCCTACAAATGTAAAGAATGTGGCAAAGCCTTTTTATACAGCTCCGAACTTTCTTTTATTCGGGCAGTCTGTGCCAGAGAGAGGCAGTACAAATGTAAGGAATGTGGCCGAGCCTTTACGTGCTCCTCAAGTCTTTCCCATCATCAAAGAAATCATTCTGGAGTGAGGCCATACCAGTGTAAAGAATGTGGCAAAGCCTTCATGTGTTCTTCTAGTCTTTTTTGTCATGAAAGAACTCATACTGCAGAGAAGCCTTTCAAGTTTAAAGTATGCAGCAAAGCCTTCAGAGAGTATTCATACCTCCTTGCACATCAGAGAATTCATACAGGAGAGAAACCATACAGATGTAATAAATGTGACTTGTTCTTGAAATAGCCTACCTTACCATCAGACACTTCACACTAGGGAGAAAACTAACAAATGTAAACAATGTGGCAAAACCTTTAGCAAGTCCTTAAACCTTACTCAACATAAAAGAATTCACACTGGAGAGAAGTCTTGCAAATGTAGTGATCTGGAAAAACTTTTAACTGGAGCTATATCCTCAGTCAATACCAGAGTGTGCATACTGGACAGATATCTTGCAAAGGTATTAAAGAAAAAATGACTCGTCCTTGACACTCACCTTCGAAAGTTCCAGCGTTTCTAAAGGTAAAAACTGTACAGACGTAAAAACTGACACACCGACACACTGACAACTAGACATACCTCGAGTATAAGAACTACAAGAGTGGATATAATTGGGAGTCTAATCTAAATATATGGCAGAGAAATCACAGTAGAGCAGTAAGTCAAAACCACTTTGAAAATACTACTTTAAATCAGAATATTTATGTGGATAATTATCCAAAGTTACATAGATGACTTTTTTTGATTAGTTATGTAAGTGTTAAAGTTTCATGGGGTTGGATGTTTGGACAAGTATGATTTTCAATGTAGCTTTATTTTCATTGACCTTACTTGAGGTTTTTTGAAAAGGAAATATTAATTTTCAACTCCCTGATGACATTATGCTATTGCTTTCATTCCTTGTGTATATGTGAAGTTGTGTGTGTGGCTGTCTCAAAAACCTGGCAGGCCCTTCTGTGTATGGCAGAATTCATTGACATCCATTCCCTCATCAGAGATTAGAGAAACACTAATTTACATTATATGAAGAAAAATCTAAAATGAGATGCTTTTATAAAGTTATGTAGGCCACCAAGAAGTAGTGTTTGGGCCATCTTTGACTGCATTCAGATACAGAGGAACATAACTAATTTTGAAATAGTTTTACCAACGGCCCTTTAAAAAAAAATAGGGTAGTACATTAAGACCCTCTATATCTTCATAACTGCAAAAGATACAATTCATGAATATCTGTTGATACAGTTGAAATCGTGGTCTTTACAGGTATTAACTATTCAGGAAAATTATAGACAAAACTTCCATAAAGGGCATGCATTTTTTATATTTATATTTTCCAAAATATTCACCTCAGTGAATTCATGGAAGTAACAACTCCCAGATCATTATGCTGAGCAGGTATGCTTCTTGAATACCTGTAACATAAATTACATGTGTGTCTTTTGAGAACAGGTAAGGCAGACTTATTGCAATACCCTGCAAGGGAGCGGGGAGTGAGATCGGAGATATCCTCTGTCTCTATAATCTATATTTTGACCAAACATCATACAGTGATAGGTTTATTTAAATCTGTGTGAACTTACATTAATTAATAAAACTGCTTCTTTACTGTAAAAAGATGAATGTGATGAATGAAGTGTCACCTGCCACTAACAGTAACCACCTGACTCAAATATGTAGATGCGAATTGGCCATAGACGAGCAGGGTATTTCCCTGACTAACTCGAGGTATGTCTAGTTGTCAGTGTGTCCTCGTCCCAACTGCTCCTATCCTTGGGTTTTGATTGTTTAAAATTTTGAAGTGTCCTGGGTTCTGGAGATAAAAGTATCTGATATTGAAAAGATTCCTCTGTGACAGATCTCTAGGGAAGGCACTGAGATCCCAGATTCCTGTTGGGATCAATAAGATGCTCAGGCCGCAACTGCTGCTCTATACAACAGGACACAGAATGTACATACTGAAGCAGAGTGACATGGATGGCCCAGAATAATGCAGAAAAAGCTGGAGAAGTGATTAGAAGATAGCAGTTTGCTACACTGCTAAAAAAAAACAATACCACTTAAGTAGACATGAGTGATTGGAAATTATACAGCTGGGGAAATAGGTGCATTCAGATGTAAATGAGCAGCTATCTTTTCTTGAGTAGATCTGGGTTAACATGTACTCACTCTCCTGGCATCACCAGAACAATACGGTGGAAATGCGTGTCCTGTGTATCAGGCCCTGATGTGGATTTGTCCCCTCATAGCCAATGGAAATTGTAATCTATCAAGTTTTGTTGCTGTATTATATTTTGCAAGCATTTCAGACTAGTACTTATTTTTATAATTTCACAAAAAGCAAAAATAATCATTAATGTATGTTCATGCTTCTTAAGATAATAAAATATAGCTCAGCACAAATATTAAAAATTTTTTTCAATCAAGCATGACTACAACCTATACCCCATTTTTTGGAAGTTGTATCTCATGATTTTTGAAATGCTCCGAGGTCCCCTAGGATTCCTCACATTGCTGCCACAGGGGGCATCTCCTCTATATTTACCGCCCTCTAAGTTCCCCTCCCCCCACCATGACCTACCAAGGCATTCACAGAGCCCATCCTTTGGTGAGACTGTATGGAAAGGCTGCTCTTGTACTGCTTCTGTGGGAAAATCTGCACATTCTGAGGCTTTCTGTGTTAGGTCATTTTAAGTTCCTTTTTGCTGCTGTCAGAAGTCTGTGGAATGGTAGAAATCACTGAAATTTCTTTCAGAATATCAGGAACACATATTACATGGTTCTTGCTTTTGATTTCCAGTTCCATGGACACTTCAAACCTGACTTTACAAAATCATATGGCGAGATGATGCCTGTCTGCAGTGTAGGTGCCCAACTCTCTGGATTTAGGAAGATAAATTCTACTTCTGTGATTTTTAAATGACCTGCATTTCTTCTGTTCTCCTTTCATTTCCATTTAGATATGATCACAGACATCCTCGTTTTTGCCTGTAATATGACTATACAGATCTCACATCTTTCCTCCTCCCATGACATCCATGCAGGCCCTAGTCAGTTTAGGTAAGTAGTTTGTATTTTTCCAGTGTAACAAAGTGATCCTCAACTGGAAAATGAGGCCATAGATCCATTGACAATATCCTACTCTCAGTTACAAGAGTGAAACACACTGGTGGGCTGATGGATCACTGCAGGCATTAGCACAGTGAGTGATGAAGACAAAACATTCTGATGGTGTCCTCCTGAGAGGCGAAGACAGACCCAGTGAAAGCAAGTGTGGGGAACTCTTGTGCTGAAAAGACTTGCAGCACTCCCTTAATCGCTGTAAGGGCTTACGCAGCTAATCAAGGTATCAGCTAATATGACAGATGGGCCACTGCAAGTGTGGGTTTCTGAGAATCAGGGAAGTCATTCAGTGTTTGTGGTCTAATGAACTATTGGGCAGTTTTGAGGCTCAAATGCTGTGGTTAAGCTGAGACTCTTCTACTTCCCGGGCTGTCAGAGGCAGTGGGATGTAGGGGGATGCTGGATGAAGCACAATTTGGGGACAAAGTGGAGCACAGAGGGAGTTCTTAAAGGAGACAGGACAGCAGCCTGGTAAAGAATGGGGCCTGACAGCACGGCAAGGGGTGCAGGAGGACCCCAACCCTTTACTCTTGAATCTGCATGGAATGAGCACTAAGGCTCTTCACCTCCCAGAGAGGGGAGTCAGGGAGCTCTCCCTGGTGGTGCAATGGGTCAAACTCTGATGCCACTGAAGCACAAGTTCAATCCCCAGCCAGGGAGCTGACCTACATAGCATGACAGACCTCTCCTATCCCACCCACTGCTCCCCTCAGCAGTGTATTTCAGTAGATCTGCCTGCTCTGCTCCCTACTGTCTCTGGTGAATCCTCTCACTCACCACATCACTGGCCTGTTCCCCAGTCTGTAAGAATAAATAAATAAATCATTAAAAAAAAAAACACCTTCTGTGTAAACTTAAATGCCCAACTAATTATGTTAACATATGGGTTGGCTACACTCCTCTAATTCACCTCATAGAGTATGTACACTCAAGCACACTAGACCAGAACTTGTGAATCTAAACCACAAATTTGACAAATATCCAAGAAGCAAGTAAGAAAGCATAGGACATAAACCAGCCAAGTTTGTATTAAGCAGAATAATATAGCTCAGGAGTTTGGTAAACAAAGCTGAGACTTTGTTACAGGGTGAACCAAGTTCTAAATTTCCTAGAGCCTTCATGTATTTAAAACTAAATGAGGCAAACTGATACATTAAACTAGATATCACCACTGGAAATTCACAACTCCTTCAACTGAAGTACACAGAGTTGAAAATTGTGATAGTTAATATAAACTAGAATTACATTTTCTCATAAGGAAGATGCTTTGTCCTGTGTTAAAATTATCAACCTGACTTTGTATGATCATGTCTGAAACGTCCACAGGTGTAGAAATAATAAAGGGAAATTTGTCCCCCTGTTTCAGGATCTCTGCACCAAATCCCCAAGTCTCCACAGCTCCGTATTCTACACTTCTAATAGGAGGCAAATTCAGAACTTTGTGGGTGCTCTGGGGTAGGTGGGCTGGAGTGAAGTACATCTCAGGTGGTGTGAATTCCTGAGTCATACCATATTCCTGATTTCAACCAGCATGAGAAACACATAAATATATAACCAATGGATCAACATAGAATTTCTCAGAAATGTGCACAAATATCACCAAGTCTCCAAAAGCAAGAACAACAGAACCAGTCAGACCTTCCCTGCCCAGGTGGAGGGCTTGGCTCTTAAGGTCCAGACCATGGCGGGTCACAGAGCAGAGAAGGACCCTCAGAGGGTGGAAGAGTGTGAAAGAGTGTCAGAAAGCAGACAGCCCAGGACACAGGCGTGCACTCGGGAGAAGCACTGGGCCTCTCCAGCTACACTGCCTTTGAAGTCGGGTCCAAACGCAGTTAAAGTCTGGCTCCCGCCTTCATCTTAGGACGTGTCACCTGTGTCCTCCTTCCCTCCATTCCCATCTACCTGGGAACAAGGCCACTGTCTCCTTTCTCTTCACACCAGGGCTGCCGAGACCTCTTTAAAGGAAGGGGGAAGACAATACTTGGAGGAGATTCTCCAGTCCCAAGTACAAATCACATTTGTACACTGTATCCTAGATATTATTTTCACCCTCTTAAATTCACCTAAAATATATCAATGCATGAACCCCATAATTAAACCCTAAGATCAAAAATATCTTTTCCTTTTATGGGATCATTTTGTCAAAAATCAGAAGAACAACGGAAATTTTAGGCTATTCTAAAAAAAGTATTTCCCCAAATACAGTTTTTGATAGCTAAACCTTTGTTTACTGCACAAGGCAACATTTAAAAATTCCAGAACATTAGTTCCAGTTCCAAGGACAAGTGAGTCAAAAGAAGGAATGAAATATGGAATTTAAATTGTGCAAGACAAATCTGTTGGCCCACGGAATTTCTAGAATTATCACTAATGTAGAGTGAAGGATGCAGATCACTTGGAGGAGGAGGGAGGCTAAAAGAATGATGAGAAATCACAAAAGAAATTTCTTTTTTATACCAGTAACCCCTACTTTTCCTTTAGGCAGGGGGGTCTGACACCCTCTTGTACAAGGCAGAAGCCCCCAAGAGATATTCTACAAAGCTTCTACACAGCAAGAAACAATAATTAAGATGAAGAGATTCTAGACAGCAAGAGACAATAATTAAGATGAAGAGATTCTAGACAGCAAGAGACAATAATTAAGATGAAGAGATTCTAGACAGCAAGAGACAATAATTAAGATGAAGAGACACCCTACAAATTGGAGAAAATATTAACACTCCACAAAACTGAGCAAGGGGTGATATCAAAGATCAACAAAGGGCTTATACAAAACTCAACAAAACTAATGAATCCAGTCAAAAAGTGAACAGAAGAGCTAAAAAGACACTTCTTCAAAGAGGAAGCGCAGATAGTCAACAGACACATGTAAAACTGCTCAGTATCGCCAATAAGCAGGGACATGCAAATTAAAACCACAATGAGCACGGCTCCTATTTTAAAAAAATTAACAGGGGCCTCCTGGATGGCGCAAGAAGTTAAAAAGCACAGCTCTGCAAAGCCAGCCCCTTGAGCATGAGTTTGATGCAAGTTAGATATCTGGCCTGAGAGGTGACCCACATGCTGCGGCAGACCTCTCCTGTCTCACCCACTGCTCCCCTCAGCTATGCACTTCATCAATCGACCTGCTGTGCCCCCCACTCTGTCTCTAGTGAATCCTGTCATCACCCCTATACCTCTGGTCTGCACCCCAGTTCTGTATACATACATAAATAAATCTTTAAGAAAATAACAGCAAATGCTGGCGAGGATGTGGAGAAAAAGGAACCCTCTTACACTGCTGGAGGAAATGCAACTTGACAGTGACTATGGAATGCTGTGTGGACTTCAAATTACTAAAAATGGATTGATCATATGATCCACCAATTTCATTCCTAAAAATCTATTCAAAGGACAAAAGAAATCAACTCAAAAGGAAGCCTGCACTAATATGTTCATTGCAGCACTATTTACAATTGCTAAGTTATGGAAACAAACTCAATGCTCCAAAATATGGATCAAGAAAATGTGGCCTATAGACACAATGGAATACTTCTCAACAATCAAAAAATATAAATCATGCCATTCACAGCAACAGGATGAAGCTGGAAGGGATTACGCTCACTGAAATAAGTCAGGTGGGAAAAGAAAAACATTGGATGATTTCACTTAGAGGAAGAATATAGGGAAACTGAAAATAGGGTAAATACTTTTAGGCAACTGTAGACTGAGGCTTAAAGCAGGGGACAAGAAGGAAAAGGGGTCAAAATAGGGGTGGGAAGAGCACCAGGGACCATGGTGATGGTTCGCAACTGGTGTGGTAGTGGGATATTTATAGGTGGTGCTAACGTAAGGGGTAAAATTAAAAACTGTAAAAGTAAGAACAATGTAGGGCCCTCCCTGGTGGCGCAGCGGGTTAAAGCACAGCACTAAGAAGCTTAAGCCATTTCCACATGAGTTCGATCCCCGCCTGCCCCGGAGGTGACCACATGGCGTGGCAGACCTCTCCTGACCCGCCCGCTGCTCCCCTAAGCAGTGTACTTCATCGATCTGCCTGTTCTGCTCCCCACTCTGTCTCTGGTGAAGCCTCTCACTGCCCCTGAGCCTCTGGCCTGTACCCCAGTTCTGTATGCATAAATAAATAAATCTTTAAAAAAAAAAAAGTAAGAACAATGTAAAAAAATAAAGGAAAAAAGAACAAAAAAGTCATTTTTATATTAGCCATGTGATAATGATCATGTCCTCAGGTTTTCTTCTTTGCTCCGGTATTACTAAACATTACATAAATAAACCTTCAATAAAGGGGGGCGGAAATCAAGTCGGCATCAGCTGTAGTGAGAGGAACGGACACCAGCGCCAGCCCTGCAGCGGCCGCCACATCTGAGCTGTGGTTTTGGAGTCAAAAGTCAGTCTAAGCTTAATTAAAACATAATACTAAACACCGCCAGTTTTCATGCAAGTGTCAGGCCACATACCCCTCCCAGGCTCTAACAGTCCATGTCAACAGTGAGTCTTCCTTAGCAGCACGGAACGCAGGTTCTAACGACCCTTCGGAATGTTGGGGTGCACCCCGGGGCGTCGTCAGCCTCCAGTGTGTTCCCGCTGGGCGGGGCTGAAGTCGCCAGGGCCTGGAAGCGGAGCTGCATTTTCCTTCCCCACCCCGGCGTGAGCGACGCCCTCCCCCCTCACCTCAGGTCCTGACCCGGGACACTCGCCGCGCAGATCCGTCACCCAGGGGGGCCTTGGGAACAAGCGGAGTTAGGGAACGCTCGGTGAGGACGTTTTTATGCCGAACGCACCGTCTCCACCTTAGAACGGGATGTGGGGGAGGGGGTTCCGAAGCGCGGACCGTGTCCCCCCACCCAAGGGACCCCGAGACACAAGCCAAAACCGGCAGTTCTGCTCCCGCGCTCTTCAGGAGACGCAACAGTCCTGCCTCTGCGCCCCTACCCCGTCTCCTCCCCAGGCCAGATGCCCCGGAGCATCCACGCCACGCGCGGAGACGCTGCCCTCAGGGCGCCTGCACCTCCTGCTCCCACCTGTGGGCAACGGACCTTCGGGCGCCCACAGTCCGACCCGGCCTTTCGCTTCCAGCACCTGAGGACCCTTCACTCGTCCTCCTTCCCCGCGGCCAGGCACCTCC